TATATATATATATATATATATATATATATATATGTATATATGTATATATATATATATACCGAAACATCTTCCCTCCGTTACGCCTTGTTAAAGTAAACGATGCAAAATAGTGAAAAGTATGAGTTTAAAAGAAAAAAAGTGTTTAGGTTTAACATAAACGGACTCCGACAGATGAAACTGGACACAAGCTAACTGGACTTTAACTGGACCCGAGCCTGCAGGGGGCGCTGCAGGGGAGGTTTGAGGCTTTAATGAAACAGATCTGAGGTCTGCAGTGTTACCTGATAATTTATCCAGCTGTTTTTGTACAGATGTTGGGTGTGACTAAATGAATTACGTGAAGTTCTGTGGTTCTGCTCCCCGCGGGGGCTCCGTGTCGTGCTTTCGGCTATCACCGATGAATCCGAACCGCTGCGTCTCACGTCTTCGGCTCATGTTTGAAACATCTTCAGCTGCAGGTTTCAGCTCATTTCTCTGCTAAAAGTCTCCGGCTGTTTTAAAGTCGTTCAGTGTGACGACAGAATGCCGACGTGTGCACGTTTTTTTTTTTTCTTGCTTCAGCTTTTTCAGGTCAAAACACAAACCTTTCACAACAAAACAACCGAAATTAAAAAAGAAGGCACAAAAATGGACATTAAAAAGTCTCTTTGATCGTACCAGAACGTGTAGAAAACCTCCATGAACCCTTCAGGGCATTGTGTCCGTTCTGAACCAGCATCCCATCAATCAGATGAGCCCGATTAGCTCTTTAAAACTGTTACTAATAAAGAGTTAAATAATAAACTTCATGATGATTTGTTCAAATCAAACTGCAGGATTTTGGATCTAAACACAATAAATTACAGCCGAAATAAGAATGATGGGGAAAAACCACAACCAGACTCTGTGTAAAATGTAAATAAAAACAAAATATTGATCTTAAACTCCATAAACTGGCATTTTATTAGCAGTGGAACACAGTAAACACATTTGAAATAAGAAATTTAACCATTTATGGGAAGAAAAATAAGGTAATTTTGAATCTGATGGCAGCGACATGTTCTCCACTTCACCTCAGTCCATTTTAAACGAGCTCTGGTCCAGAGAAGACCGCAGCGGTTCTGGTTCTGTCTTCACATGTTACTTCTTCTTTGCCTGATAGAGCTTTAAGCAGCATTTGTGGATGACGGACAATGATCTGTGGAGGTGTTCCTGAGCCCAGACAAGAACCAGACCTGGCTTTAATGCAGGGCCCGAAGATCACGACCCTCCTATAAGCACTTCCAGCCTCGTCCTGTGAGCCCAGAGATTTTTACAGATAATTCTAATCTCTTCATGAGATTATGAACAGGAGATTGTGGCGATTCATAGTCCAGTTTTCTGATACTGTTCCACTATATATGCGGTTTTTCTCAGACTGCTGAACCTCTGCCCGTCTTTACTTCTGAGAGAGAAGTCTTTTTGTACCCAGTCCTCTGACCGACCTGTTATTTAACCTCATTAGTTACAAAATGATCCTTCAGCTGTTTCTTATGGAGGAAAGAATGTGCCAAAATGAAATAAATAAAAACACAGTAATGAAATTAATCATTTCATTATTAAATGCATCATTAAATAATTAAATAAATTATTAAATACATCAATAAATAAACAATTAAATTATGTATTTCATGATTTAATAAATTATTTAATTTTGTCACATTCCACCCTCCATTAAATTATGTTAACTGTCAGCCTCACTCATCAAACTCAGTGGGCGGGACTAACGCTGAGCATGTAAAATCCTAAATTGTTAGATAATATATAAGTGTTTCACGAGCATTACCCAAGTTAATATAATATAATTCTTACCTTGCACACAGGCCGGGGTTTGCGATCCACACTGCTGCATCGGGCTGTAGGTCAGACTCTGTGGAGCTTCTTCGTTTAAATTTGCTGCTTCTCGTAAAAGCGCGTCTTCTTCTTTACATTCATGATATGAAAAAAGGTTTAATCTAAATACGCGTAAACACAATTATCGCTTCCTGAAGTTTCGGAATATATTTTCTGGCCTGTGGATCAATCGGTTGTCTGTTCTGTGTTGCCTACGCTTGCTGTGAGGAGCAGCCAATCAGGCGTCAGGGTTAGGGTTAGTCCCGCCCACTGGGTTTGACGAGTGAGGCTGACGGTTAACATGATTTCATGATGTCACTGGAGGGTGGAAGGTGACTAAATAAATAAATAAATCATGACATAATTTAAAAGGTACATTTCATTATTTAATGTTGTGTTTAATAATTTAATGATTTAATGATGTAAATGATACATTTAATTGCTATGTATGCATTTATTTCATTTTGTCACGTTCCGTCCTCCATACTTTCTCATTCATACAACTTTTACAGCCGTTCGTTGCCCTTAAAATAACTTTTTACAGATCTGTTGCTGCCATCAAATTTTAAATGACCTTAATTAATTTTAAAAAAGTACAATACCTTGTTTGACTTATGTTCCACTGAATGAAATATGGGTTTATGAGATTCACAAATCACAGTGCTCTGTTTTTATTTTACACAACGTCCCAGCTGTTTCAGGATTCAAGTTTTAAACCTGAACTGGTTTGAGAAAATACTTCAGTTTCTGGTGAGACTCGTCGGGTCCGTCTCACTTCTCTGCAGCTTAATTTGAGGCGAAAGCTTCCTGGAAAGTTTGACTCGGAACAGAAACGAGGAGCCAAAGTAATAAAATGTTCACACGGAACAAAACGATTCGTCCTGCAGCCGATTCCCTCCGTGACAAATCATCGCTTTGCTCTGACGATGAGGCTCGTGAAACAGGAAGTTTTCTGCAGGTTGGACATCAAATCACAGCTGGATTTAGTTTAAATATTAACAGTTGTCATAAAAACTAAAACTAGTCTCATGATGACAAAATGAGCTTTTAGTTTACACAAAATATCTCCAAATAATAAATAATTTAATAAATAATAATTAGACTAATAATCAAATAATAATTTTAATGTGGACATTGTAATGAAATTATTGAAAATACTCAATTAACTGCGCTGGATTCAGACGGGCCCTGGTTCTGGACTCATAATCAGGGGCCTAAACCGGTCATGGGGCCCCATAAAACAAAGTACTGAAACAAACAAACAAAAAAAATACACACACACAAAATACGGGAAAGTAACGACAAAATGATGGCAAAAAAAAGCAATACTGCACAATCCATAGTTGGCTTACCAGGTGGTTCTTTATGTTTAGGGGGTTGGGGACTTGAGGCATGCCCAGGGCCCCATTGGTTCCTGATCCGTCCCTGCAGGACCAGAACCTTTACACTGCCAGTCGCACAACAGCTGCTCCTAGTCACTGCCATACATATCGTAACGTGGTGTTGCTGCTTCGCTGTGACGTCTGCTTCTTTACGTCTGTAGTGCCTCTGCTGTGATGACGTCTGGCCCCGCCCATTAACCGCCCCCAGGCCTGTAAAGTGGGCGGGGTCTCGTCTGCACGCTGTGACGCCCTCTGCGTGTTGATGTTTGACGTGTTTCCTGCAGCCGTAGAGTCTGTTCTGCTGTAACGCCTCAGTTTTTACCGGATAGATGACGTGTCTATTTTTTCAGACGGAAGCTGTTTTTAGTTGTAAAGTTTTAACTGTAAATTGCACTAATCGTTTTCCAGAACCTAGATGTGCCGTTAAGGTTGATCTGAATGTTGTCATAACTGAAGCTAAATATGAACCATGTTTGTAAATGTTGAAAAGAAGATTCTTAGATGTGCTTAATCATAATAAACTAAGTACTGTCTAAAAATAAACATGTTGGTTTGGGTGTAATTACTTTAGAGTTTGAGAAACAAAAACTGAGCCAGGCTCGTTGTGTGCGTCGTCATTTACAATATTATTGTCCTTTCTTGTAGCTATAAATTTATTTATTTATTCCTTTCTTTATTGTTTGTTTACAATCGAACTACTTCAGACTTTATTTTATTTTAGCCGTTCATAAATCAAAACGTTCAGCAGACGGGAGCTGTGACATTTGGTTTTTGTAACTTATACCTTACAAAAATTTACTTTACTTTTAGTTTTAGTGTGAATTCTAAGCTGAATCTGGAAAAAGCTAAAACTAAGTTGTTGAAGCTAAAAGCTACAAGTAGCAAAAGGCAAAAGCAAATGACTAACTAATAGAAAATGTTAATGCTAAAATAAAGATACAAGTAACAAAAGCGTAGGTAAAAGTATTAAAAGAGCCAAAGGCTAGCTACAACTATAAAAGTATAGCTAAAAATAGTTAAGCACTGGCAAGTAAAAAAAAAAAGGCTAATTAAAAGCAAAAAGTAAGAAAACAGCCAAAAATAAGGAAATACTAGCTAAGAGTAGCAGAAGCAGAGCTACAAATAACAAAGGCGTAGCTAAAGGCTAGCTACAATTTAGCAAAGCTGAAAATGGCTAAGTGCTAGCTCAAAGTTGGAAAAAAAATCTAGCTACATGCTTCACGTTTTAAAAGAGCAGCTAAAACTACTTTCTAAAAGACTTGCTAAAAGGAGCAAAAGCAGAGTTGAAAGCTACAAGTAGCAAAAGGCTAACTAAAAGTTGCAAAAATCGACAAGCAATGAAAAAGCAGCTAAAAGTTGTAAAAGGCTCATTAAAGTAAAGGATTTCTATAAGTAGTGAAAACAGCTAAAAGTAGCAAAAATCTTAAAGTATATAAAGAGTAGGTAAGACGTGTAGCTAAAAGCTACAAGTAGCAAAAAGGAAAGCTTAAAATAGTGAAACTGACAGTGGTTTTTATTTTTAACCTAATATGGGACTGTGTCTGTATGTCTAATACGTGTTCATTTGTGTTTTTCTTGTTGACATCACTCTAAGTAGAAACACGGTCTGACAGGCACAAAGTTCAGTCTCCCTCTGAGCATCCTTGTCCTCTCAGACTCATTTTACTTCAGTTTTTGAAAGCTGGTAGCAACAGATCTGCTCATACCAATAACATCAAAAATGTGGGTGGGATTGGTGACAGCACTCACACCTGTCTCCACCCTCATTTGTCCCACCCTGGGCCCTTGAGCAAGGCCCTTAACCTCCCTATCTGCTCCCCAGGGCGCCCTAGATGACAGCTCCCTGCTCCACACAAAGGGCTGTGGTAGCTCAGTGGTTGTGTCAGGAAGGGCATCCATTGTAAAAAAAAAAAAAAAAAAAAAAAAGCCAAGTCTTTTTGGTTACCCCTGACGAAGGGAGCAGCCGGAAGAAGAAAAAAAATATTAAAGGCATGCAGATGTACATTAGACAATGGGTAAAGCGTTTTCGATGAGCTTTCAGGTAACCAAACTATTTTTCTGCGTCTGTAATATTTCGGTTTATTTTTCCTCGCAGAGTGAGACCTCTTCTTTTTTACCTATCTTTCTGATGTTTACGTCACAGGGAATTTCCAACGGAGAAGGAAATCGTCGTTTTGTTCGGAGAGGAGCTCGTTTTCACCTGGAAGACTACTTTCACTAAACTCTGGATTAAAAGTTGTTCCTCGCCGCGAACCGTCAGGATGTTCCGACTGAACCGACCGAGGCTGTAAATGGGTCGGCTGGTTCGGCGTGATGGGGAACAACTAATGAACTGAAGCGAATCGGAACGAGTCGCGCTTCATTCCGACAAACTGACTTTTACCTGTCTGAGCGAGCAGCCAGGTAACCCACCTGCTAACCGCACAGGAACCGGACACGCCGCTGTTTTTTCTCCGCACTGCGGGTCCGAACTTCACCGCGACCCGTTAGAACCTGACAAGCCCGCTTTGTTGTGCTGCTTTACTTCCTTATATTAGCCTACAGGTAACTCCGAGAGCGTCACTCTGTCGGGTGTTTTCTCATTTATCAACGATTAGAAATAGTTTAAAGCTTCTTTTAAAAGTGCATTTTATATTTATTTAACCCAACAATATAGTCGGCATTGTTTTGTCACAAGTTAAATATTTTATTTTGTCAGTTTAAACTAGTATTTGAACTTCGGACGCTCTTGTTTTTTAGTAACAGTTGACAACATTACTAAATAGACAAAAAATAAAAATGACTATTTTATTTTTTTACATCCCGAAATAACGTGATGTACTAGCTAATTGTTATTTGTAAGACCAACACTTGTAGTTTAATGCATTTACGTGAAACGTTGTAATCTTTATAAATATTAGATTTGTCTATGGAGTCTGGCATTGAGTCTGCGCGTAAGGAAACTACGGTCTATGGCAGCGGGAACAGGTAGCGGCTAGCAGCACCGACAGGACCGAGACACACGAAGTCCGTCAGGCTTGAGCTCCACAACCGTGACCAGCGTGGAGCTCTTTGTTGGTTGTTTTTATTTATTTTGTAACAGTTGCGTTAACAACATAAACAACTACATCCGCACCGTGGCGGCGGTTAGCTGTTAGCAACGGAGCTAACTGACAGACGGGTCGCGTTCACGAGCGAGCGGCGCGGGGACGCGCGGCACAGCAGCAGCAAAGATCAGAAATTAATCGATATTATTTGCGATTAAATCTGATCCAGTCACGGTTTGAAGGCAGCAGAAACACTCATTTGCTTGTTTTTAATTAATCTGACTCCACAAAATGTTAGAAGTACATTTCGTTTGACTGTCTTAATTCTGCAACATATTAAAGCAACTTATTGCAAAGTCAAATTAAACCAGTTGAGCTGACTGGAATGGCTCAGTCTGAAAGAGTTTACTCCAGTAGTTTTCCAAAATACCGATAAACAGTTGTGAAATGTGGGTCTGCACTCAGTGTAAACAAAGCAGACCTTACTCAACAACAACACGTATAAAAACTATTGGACACTTGGGCTGTTTTTATCTTTGATGTTTTTTAAACGGTCTTTGCAGTGAGTAGCTTTAGGTTCACCACTGGGTGTAAAACTGATTTGATGATTTATGCCTGGTTCTGATCTGCAGCTCGTGGTCGACTTCTTTGGCTCAAAGTGCTCGGGGTGCCACAAAAAGTTTAAACTTAAACAAACCACTCTGAATCCGGAGTTTAATTTACTTTGTGCCGCTGCCTCTTGGCCATGCAGGTCGTTGTCTAAAGGAGAACAGATTCCCACCACACTCAGGTGATCGCCCGTCTCCGTGAAAGTCGGGCGATCATGCAATTGTTAGAAACTTTTTCAGAGCAGACAGGAAGTGTTTTTTTTTTCCGTTCTGTTAGCAAAATATCTCATGAACCGCTGAACAGATTTCAACTGTAAAGTGTACGTTGTATGAACGTCTAGGACTAACGTTTGGAGTCAGCCTGGTTCAAGATGGCTGCTCACGGAAACAGCTCTGACTCGGTCAGGTTTATACAGGTGCTGGTCATAAAATTAGCATATCATGAAAAAGTTTTATTTATTTCAGTAATTCCATTCAAAAAGTGAAACTTGTATATTATATTCATTCATTACACACAGACAGATCTATTTCAAATGTTTATTTCTTTTAATGTTGATGATTATAACTGACAACTAACGAAAACCCCAAATTCAGTATCTCAGACAATTAGAATATTGTGAAAAGGTTCAATACTGAAGACACCTGGTGCCACTCAAAACACCTGCAAAGGCCTTTAAATGGTCTCAGTCTAGTTCTGTAGGCTGCACAATCACGGGGAAGACTGCTGACTGACAGTTGTCCAAAATACGACCATTGACACCTTGCACGAGGAGGGCAAGACACAAATGGTCATTGCTAAAGAGGCTGGCTGTTCACAGAGCTCTGTGTCCAAGCAATAGGGTTAACTGCACCCTGAAGAAGATTGTGAAACAAAACCCATTCCAAAATGTGGGGGAGATTCACAAAGAGTGGACTGTAGCAGGAGTCAGTGCTTCAAGAACCACCATGCACAGACGTATGCAAGACAGGTTTCAGCCACTCTTGAACAAGAGACAGCATCAGAAGCATCTCGCCTGGGATAAAGACAAAAAGGACTGGACTCCTGCTGTCTGAAGTTATGTTCTCTGATGGAAGTAAATTTTGCATTTCCTTTGGAAATCAAGGTCCCAGAGTCTGGAGGAAGAGAGGAGAGGCAAAAAATCCACGTTGCTTGAGGTCCAGTGTGAAGTTTCCAGTCAGTGATGGTTTGGGGTGCCATGCCATCTGCTGGTGTTGGTCCACTGTGTTTTCTGAGGTCCAAGGTCAACACAGCCATCTACCAGGAAGTTTTAAAGCATTTTATGCTTCCTGCTGCTGACCAACTTTATGGAGATGCAGATTTCATTTTCCAACAGGACTTGGCACCTGCACACAGTGCCAAAGCTACCAGTACCTGGTTTAAGGACCACGGTATCCTAAAATGGTAACCTAAAAATCCTATTTTTATTGGTCTTAAGTAATATTCTAATTTTCTGAGATACTGAATTTGAGGTTTTCATTAGTTGTCAGTTATAATCATCAACATTAAAAGAAATCAACATTTGAAATAGATCTGTCTGTGTGTAATGAATGAATATAATATACAAGTTTCACTTTTTGAATGGAATTATTGAAATAAATCAACTTTTTCATGATATTCTAATTTTATGACCAGCACTTGTAGATATGAAGCTAAAACCTGGATTGGTAGTAGCCGAAGAGTTATCCCCAACACATACTCTGAGCTCTAACACGTCACGTGATCCATGAAAGGTTGGAGTCGGGTGATATGCATTCCTTCAAAGAACATTTGTTTTATTTTTTAATTTAAATGGTTGGTTTTCTTTTTTTCTTTTTATTTATATTGTGATTTCCGAGCCTCTTTAACCCTTCTGCTGCTCTTGGGTCAAAATGATCCTCAACGCCTGCTCAGTTTTTAGGCCAAATGGGTCATTTTGACCCAAGGGCAGCAGGAGGGTTGAAGATAAAAGTATCATTGAGGAAAGTTCTCCTGCAGTTTTTCTGACCGATTTTCTAATTAAGTCTCGTTTGATGTCTGCAGACAAGATGGCCGGAGACGACCACTACCTCCACCCTTCCACCCAGGTGAGCTCACCTGCAGCTCGTCACACGCGGTCAGATCTGGCGAGTGTTTCTTCATTAATATCTCTAACAGAGAAGATTTAAAAACTCTGCTGGAAGAATATGATGTGAAAACAGAAGGCGTTTATTTCACCCTCCTGCTGCCCTTGGGTCAAAATGACCCACGAGGTCTCAGTTTTTTAAGGATTTGAAGAGTTCTCTATTTCAATCAGGAAAAATAAGGTGAAATATTTCAAAACCTGTAAAAGTTGTAAACAGCAAAAGTCACAGCCGTAATGTTTTTGGTACCTGAAGGGTTAAAGTACCTAAAAGTATTTTTAAGCAGGTAAATTTAAGGTAAAACGGCAGAGTGCACGCTGACTCTGCATTCAGACATAAAATGCCTCGCAGACAAACATCTATAAAACATTTATATAAATTGCTTTTTTAAGAAAAGTTAGGTTGTCTGACTCCAAATGATTGGTGTACGGTACCAGTCTTTGGTGCGGGGAGTTGTAGACCCAGGATGACCCCGTGCTGTTGGACAATTACAAACAAAATATGACCCAAAACTCTTCATTACCTGGTCTCCTCATCGTCAGGAGGTCTTAAGTGTTGACGGAGTGGAAACATGACAAAGAGGGCCGAGCGGATCTGGTTTCTGGGTCCAGCTGCAGCCTGAGTGGACCTGGTTTCTGGGTCCAGCTGCAGCCTGAGTGGACCTGGTTTCTGGGTCCAGAGTTTGTCAGATTTATGGCTGCAGACGAGTGAAATGTCCTCCCAGAGGTTCTTTGTTTATCCAGCTCCTGGTTGTTTACACGTTTCATTTTGTTTACAGATGTTTGACAACATCATGATCGATTCTTCCTGGGAGTTTCCAACTTTCTCTGCGATGCCTCAGACGGTGTCTGTGCGAACAGGTGAGTGCTTCAGCTGTAACACCTGCAGATGTTGTCCGACAACTTCCTGTCTGGGTTTATTATTGAGGGTTTTCACGTGTTTAAAGTTTGTTGGCTGACACTCATTAACAGTGTCGATGTATAAAAACTGAAACATCTTTTTAATAATTTCTTTTTTTTTTCCTGTTTCTGTCACTATGTTTTGGTTTAACGCAGCTTTAGAGATAACTCATCAAAATACTTGCAGTCAGGGGCACTGAGCTGTGACTTCTGGTTGCAGAACGTTGTGCGACAAAGATGAAATTCACTAAAAACTGTGACACCACCATAATGCTTCGTAGAAGTGGGTGCAGCTACTTCGCGCTTCGTTTGTCGTGGACTCGCTCTATCGCGGTTTTTCAAAATAAGATTGGAATTGACACACAATCGGCTGATTGATGGATGAGCCGCACAATCGGCATGGAATTTTTATTTAAAATAAATTATTTAAAATAATCTAGCACCTGCTGCACATTTGTGCAGCCCAGAGCTGCAGTAAAAGCTTCCTCCTAATTAATTAAAAACCAGGTCTGGAGTCGAGGCACCAAAATGAGCCCATACCATGATATTTACTGATATCAGTTCTCCTGATGTTCCCTTCAGGCTTTCACATTTAGAAACAAACTAAACGTCTGACGCTTCTATAATAAATCGTCTTTTAAATTATTTGAAATCTTGAGCCTTAATCTTTTATTAAACATTTTATGGAAAGATAAATACCATTTTATCCTCACATTAAAGTTAGTTTAGTTTTAATTTATTTAAAACATAGACAAAGCAGAAAACAGTGACATAATCGCTTTGTGCAAATGTTTTCAACAAATAGTTTAGGTCTTATTTTAATTGTTTTAGTTTAATAGTTAAATATTGGTGGAATAAGGGTCGACTGTATTTTAACTAGAGTTTAAATTTGATTTTTTGTTTTTACTGTATGCTGATGACGACACGATTTCTGCTGTACTGTAAATAGGTTGTTAAATTATTTTCCCAATTTATTTTTCTGTTTGCTGAAGTTTAATGAGAAGCACAAACTGATTGGTTTCATGTTTTTTAAGAACAATGGCTCAGATTTTGTTGCCATAAATTGTGAAATTTTCAGACTAAAGACGTTTGTTGTTTCTGTTTTGGTGTTCGCAGTAAAAAACCAGAAAACCTTTCCATATGTTCATCTCTCATGAGTAATTTGTACTTTTCCGATTTCCAAGGTTTCTGCTTCAGTTTTTTGTCAGTCAGGAGAAATTATTCTAACGAAGACTATCTGCTCCCATGCAGACACGACCATAAATAGTTTCGCATACATCACCTTGACTGTTAATTTAACGTATTTATTATTATCTTTAATATCTATTTTTGTTTCATTAAATATTTTCCACCAAGAAATTCATTTAAGTTTGGTTGTACATGGAAATATTAAAGGGTCTTTATTAACTTTTGTCCAAACCTTTCACTCGTCTGTAAAACTCAAATTAATTGAACATGAATAATGTCTGAGACCCAAAAACCTTTTACAAACGAGGTAATAGTTTTATTAAATAGAAAGTCTAAAATGACAGAATAAATACAATTGACTAAAATAACAAATATGGAAAGAAAAAATATCGAGATATATATCGTATATCGCCATTCATCTTAAAAATATCAATATATTAATTTTAATCCATATTGCCCAGCCCAAAATAAACTGTCAAAACATATGGCTAAATACTTTAATTTACTAACAACTTGTTATACTTCTGTTTAATTAAGACGTTAAGTAACATTTTGTTATAATCTTGGTTATTTAAACATTATAATAAAACCCCTAAACAGCTGTGTTGAATTCATGGAAAAAAGAACGTTCCCTTTGGTCTACAGAGGTCATGGTGCATTCAATGACTGCAAAGAGCCGGAGGGCGGGAACCTCCATCTTGTCGAAGCTCCATAATTCACGGTTGAAACCTGTGCCTTCGTGTAAAAAGTTGTTTTTCTCTACTAAAAGAAGCTGAGAACTTATTGAATTTTTTATTGAAAGCTTTGTGTGAAAAATGCTATGCCAAAGAGCTCAAACCACACCGAGCATCCGCCATGTCAGCCCATGTCATGTCAAGGGGCCTCCCCTCCATTTTTCGAAAAGAGACACACTTCTCGCTCCCTCACTATCCATCCTTCGGTTCAAACAGTCCTATACTGCCATCTGGTGGTAAAAAAAAAAGGTACTGGACACAAAAATTAACCAACATTTCTTCTTTAATTTGACAATAATTACTAATTATTGTCAAATTTTAATTAATATTATCGTTTATCGCAATAATTTCTGAGACGATTAATCGCCCAGCAAAATTTGGTTATCGTGGTAGGCCTATTCTGTGTAAACATCTGTCCTTTGGGCAGATGTTTACTCATAAACCTCAGATGAACAACAACACAGTGTCTTACACCCCTGAAACATTTAGCAAAAAACACAGAAGCTGGGAGTTAAAACTGGGTCCAGGTCCTGATCCAGGAGCTGTAGAACCACCTTCAGCAGCAGAACTCTCAGTGGTTTGCTGTAGGACTTTATCAGCCTGCTTCTTGGTTGTAGAGGACTTTTGGCCCACTCTTCTTTTGAACATTGCTTCAGTCCATTGAGGTTTCCGCTCAGCTCCCGCAGTCCTTCCCAGATTGATGGGCAGCAGCAGCTGCTTCTCTGAGGACATTGCTGATTTCTTTCCAACTTGGCGTTGTGTTAACACACACCTGCATGGTTATGATCAGAGGTGGACCCCCCTTATCAGCAGCTCCTGTCTGATCCTGAACCTCTGAGGTCCTGTGGCAGCAGCGAGATGGAACCAGTTTTTAACATTTTGTTGTGTTCATTAAATAACGACACGCTGGAATCTCTTGTTTTTGTTCACCCGATGTCAGATTTATAACATATTTCACAACCTGATAAAACCCAGATCAGTTTATTTAGGTCCTGATACCTAAAACCCTAGAACTGAAAGGAGGTGGACTTTTTTCTTATTCTCATGACGTGATATTGAAATGTGTGCATCGTGTTGTTTCAAACGGCAGAAAACAAACAAACACGGATTATGAGTTGAGGTTATTTTGGACAACGGCAGCTTCGTTTTAACTTTTGAGGCATAAATGAAGACCGTTCACCTGGTGGTGGCGGTTGGATCAGAACTAAGCCTTGCTGTGTGAAAAAAGCATCATGTACTTAACGCCACACGTTGAACACGGTTCTGTCCGACAGCTGCAGGAAGGACGGCACATCAGAAACGTTCTTTTTGGAAAAACGAAATGATCGCGTGGGTAAATAAAGTTAAAGTGAAAGAGGAGTTTCGTGACACGTCCTCAGCGGTGACACGGGGACGGAGAATCTCTGTTTTCGCTTCCCTTTTTTTGACTCATCGGTCTTGACATGAAATAATCGTTTCGGGAGGACGAGGGGAAAGTCGGCCTCACTTCCTCCATCGATGGCAGCAAACTGTAGCGCAGAGCATCGGCCACGTTCCCCAAACAGAACCCTCTCAGACCGATCCGCTTCAGGGTTTTTATTCCTCTGGAGTTGTTGTATCTCTTCATTGTTTTAGTTTCTGTGGTTGTGGGTTTGCCGTGCGTCTGTTTGTGTTTTTTGCTGGAGGTTAAAACGTCTGCAGTTAATTTCACGCGAGTCAGAAGCGCCGGTACGTTTTTGTAACTTTCTGTAGTCGTCCTCTCGTCTCATAAACGCGACCTTACAGATGTTTCAGTGAAGGGACAGTCCCACAAAGACCCCACGGATGATGGGGGACCCGGCGAGCAGCTCCCAAACACAACAGCAGAACTAAAACGTGGAGCAGCTGTTGTGTAATCGACTGGATCGATTCAGGAAAAACTGGACCCTGTTTTATACAAAACTTCACAGATCAAAGAGAAAAGCAAACTGCTGTAAGCCAGGAAGACGCACCGATTTAGATTCAGACAACTGTATTTATCCACACACACCCACATGCTCATATACCTACAAAACAAACTGTAAAAATAATAATAAATATGCAATACCAACTAGAGAAACTGCATTTCATGCAAAAGTGCAACGTGGATGACTATTTCTGCTGAAAGCTGCTGCAGAAGCAGAAGTCAGGTTGAAAAGGTTTCATCGCTTAACTGTTGATGAGAGTTGAGTTTGAACAGCTAACATCAGCTGAACGCAGCAGAAAAACAACAGAAATGTCTAGAAAAAGCTGAATAGAGAAGAAATTTAGCAGAAATGGACATATTTAATTAATTCAACCTTTAATTAGACAGGTAAATCCCATCGAGCCTCGGGGACTCATTTACAAGAGAGACCTGATTTCAACAAAGAATGATGACGACAATAGACAGTTATTCAAAAGGCATACAGATTTTTTTTTATTTTACAAATAAGATGGCAAAAAAAGTAACAAACAGCTAACTTCTAAGGCAAATGTAGAAAACTAAAAACAGGAACATGTCAGCATTGGTCCCTGCCAGGAGTCCAACAGATTCTTAAAGCCACTTAGAGAGGACAAGGTCGAGCGCTTCAAATGTTTTTGTAAAATATTCCAGGAAACAGGAGCGGAGTAGGAGAAGGTCCTTTTGCCAAGTTCAGTCCTCATTGAGGGAACACTGCAGGTAATAATGTCCTGAGAGCGCACGCTGTAGCTGCACTCACGCAGAGACATGTAGGAGGAGATGTTTGAAGGCAGCAGACCAAGAAGTGATTTAAAGATGAAAATATACCAGTGAGAGAGTCTGCGTGAAGTTAATGATGTCCAGTTAACCAGTGAATACTGGGTGCAGTGGTGGGTACGATAATCACAGCCAGTTATGAATCTTAGTGCACCATGATAGACAGCATCCAACATCTGCAGGGTTCTTGTAGCGTTCGTGTAAATAATGTCACCGTAATCAATGGAGGGAAGAAAAGTCACAGTTACAAGGAGTTTTCTAGCATTCAGGGTTAGACAGGATCTGTTTCTGAAAAAGAAACCCAGTTTAACTTTCAGTTTCTTTACTAGGTTTTCCACGTGAAGCTTAAAAGAGAGATGTGAGTCGACCAAGATACCCAAATATTTATAGGAATCAACAACAAAAAAAAACAAAAAACAACAAACATAGAGAGGCTGAATAGATTAAAATAACTGAAATGAGCAAAAGAGAAACTGAAAAAGCAGAAAAAAGTTTAAATTGGCAAAAAGAACTAGTTGAAAGAAAAAACAAAAAATAGCAGAAAGAGGCTGAAAGGAGCAGGAACAAAGTTGATTTTTTTTTACAAAGAAGCACAAAGTGGGAAAACAGGCAGAAAAAAATTACAAAATGTAGCAGAAAAAATACTTGAGAAGTAGCTGAAAAAGCAGAGATAAGCTGAAAGGAGCATAAAAAGCTTAAATTGTCAGAAAGGAGCTGAAGGAAGCTGAAATTATAACGAAGCTGAATATAGCTGAACCAGAACAAAAGCTGAAATGAGCAGTAAAAGGATGTAAACAGCACAAAGGGTTTGAAGGATGTGGAGCTCCATTCATTTTCAATGAGAAAAACATGGCCGAAAAGGCTTTCGCTTTGAATAAGTAAAAGATTGCACATATATCAAAAGTCACAGCAGGAATGTCCTGAGTGAGCTGAACGTTTTGATTCACGAATCGTTCAAATGACACAAAGCTTGTGGAGTTACGCGTCGACAAACGCACGGAAGAAAATTGCTTCTCCGAATTTTTAAACATTCACAATATTGCCATCACGATTAAACCTCTGAGCTGCAGGAACAACTCGCTGCCATCAAGGTTCAGCAGCAGGAACAAAGTAGTCAGACTGTCTTCCTGCGTGTGATGAAGCTGCAGCCTGAAGACAGGATAAACTCAGGTCAGGATGTGATCCAGGCAGGATCATATGACCTTTGTGAAGCTTCAGAAGGACTGCAGATCCGTCTGCTGGACCCCAATTAATTTGGAGCAAATCCTGACCATGCTCTGAATTATGTTATCTTTGGCAGACAAAACACCAAACTAACGGATAAAGACAAAAAGACTGATTAAAGATATTTTCCTGTATCTGCGATCAGTTTACTTTCAAGCTGAATTCAGTCTACCTCCAGGTTGTTTTAGTTAATTTGTGTTTGTATCATTCTGTAATGATGAAGAGGAGCGTCCTGTAGGTGCGAAGGTGCAGGTCTGAACCAGGAAGTGTCTGCAGCAGTCTGGAGACAGGATGCTGCAGAAGATCACAATAACATAACGCAAGATCTCATCGGCTCCAGACGAGTTTTAAAACGCCACAGAACCGTGGGTCACACAGGTTCTGTTTGGGTTCACACACAGTCATACAGGTCCGTTTAAAGGTTCTGATCCAGGTCGTCTGAAAGTAATACAATGTAAAGAGAGAATTGATGAGAAGTTGCTCAGTACTGAAACTGAACCGACCGACCAGCTGAGTGTTTTTTTTCATTTTTTAAAGAAGCCGTCGATCTGTTGGTCAAAGCTGTCAGTTCAGAGTCAGATGTTCCAGATGTGCATTTCCTGTCAGTGTTTCCACAACAAACGTGTTCAGAGCAGCTTCAGCTCAACCCAGAGCTGCAGAGGAAGTGTTTCCCCTCACAGGTCACAGCTCTGTGGCTTTTTTTTATTTTCTCCTTCTGTTTTGTTGTTCTGCACAAACGAAAAACATTTAATCGTGACTCCAGTTCACAGCAGCTTCTAAACGACGTTAATCAGATTGAAACGCTGACGTTTGAAGCTGACTGTAGACAAATATATCATCTCTTTGTGTTTTACGGTTCTGAGTAGGGATGAACAATACTGGATTTTTGGCCGATATCCGATATGTTAAAACTTATTTGGCCAGTTACCGATACCGATATTTCCCCCCTAGGCCTACTTACAGAGACGACGCAGCTTTCTCTGCTGTGGAATTAAAATTCTGCATTATTCTGCTTGGTTGATGTCAGTTTGGCCTGCTACCAAATGCAGATGCTGAAAATGATGTAACACTTCAACTTGGATTATGTTTAATATCAAATTTATTCATGACATTTACTCTCTGTAACACAATGACAACACTCAAACAGTGAAAATTTGTAAATTTTCACAAATCTAAACTGAACGGCACGTGCGACTTTGTGCTGGAGCTGCAGGCATCCTTGTCACTGGGCTGTCATACAAAAACAGCACCTTATCTGTCTGTCTGTCTGTCTGTCTGTCTGTCTGTGTCTGGATTGATAGGTAGATATAGGTAGATAGATATAGATGGATATATATATATATATATATATATATATATATATATATATATATATAAACACAGCACCTTTATATCTGTGAGTTATTTTGATGGAATGGCCAATGCCCGATATTTAACTTTATCACTAATCTTGTCGATACCGATATCATGCCGATAATATCGTGCGTCCCTAGTTCTGAGCAGAATTAAAATGAGCTTAAATATGGCCGTTAACTGATGACGTGTTCAGAGAGGGTCTATTAAAGCAAATCTATAAAAACGTTTTGTCTTTGAAGCCTAAATAATTTTTCAAACAGTAATGAACGCTCTTCATTTTAATTTCTGCTCAAAGAATCAGAAATAAAAAAGATCAGGAGGAACTGGACTCTGCTGGTTCTGTTTCCGCACAGTTCGTCTTTAACTTCTGATCAAACCGTATTTTCAGCTCTGCGGCGCTGGATTAAATGTTTCTGTTTGTGGTTTCAGCGGACGGACCGTACCTGCAGATTCTGGAGCAGCCCAAACAGGTAAACGCAGAAACAAACGGGTTTTTAATTCAGCGCCGGTGTGGATGGGTTCAGAACCGTCAGAAACTGAATGTCAGACCTCTTAGCTCCTGGTTGTGTTTGTAGACATAAGACTAATAAAGTTCACACGAGTCGGACAACGTTTTCGTTTTGTCAAAGTTCCACGTTTTAAAGTCGTGAAGATCGGCCAAAGAAATGGTAAATAAAAAAAGTAAATCTGCACAAGAGTTTCCTCAAATCGATGGGTAATTTGTCTTTAAATTACACATTGTGTGCTGAATTTGTGACTGGATGCCAACTGCCAAGTGTTTGTTTACCTATGGAAACATCTGTGTTTTTATTTTTATTTATTTACCTACGGAAACAACCAGTCTTCTTTTGTTTTTTTTTTACTTACAGAAACAGACAAAATTGGTTTGTTGACCTATGGAAAAAGCCAAAATGTTTTTTTTTTTTACCAACTGAAGTGACTGATATTAGGTCACTGATGGAGACGCCCGTTGAGAAATGGTTTAAAGCTGAGCTCACCTATGGATTCCACCTAATGATCCTTTTAAAATAAAGGATGGCAGAAACGGATTCTGAGAAGCTCAATCATTTTATTTTATTTTTTACCGTTGGAGGGTTTAATCCGTCAATAAAAGCCCCGTTAGGAAACATTTTGTCGAGTCGCTTTCAGGTGCAGCTGGTAAAAAACAATAAAAGACGACGGTCGTTAGTCGTCTGTTGTTTGAATTTACCCTTTTTAACCAGACTTTTAATATTTCACCGTAAAACATGAAGCTTATTTTTAATTTCAGATGGCGCTCTGTTGCTTGGAGCTGATTTGTTCACTGAGTTTAAACATACGATTGTTTTCTGAAAGATTTAACCTTACAGGTGGAAGAAGATTTGCGTTTTCGCTGACGTTTTCCGTCTTTTTGTTCCTCTCTCTGTTTCCGTTTCCAGCGCGGCTTCAGGTTCAGGTACGGCTGCGAGGGTCCGTCCCACGGCGGCCTGCCGGGAGCCTCCAGCGAGAAGAACAGGAAGACGTACCCGACCGTGAAGGTAACACTTCCTGTGCGCAGCTGGTTTGTTGTGTCAGAAAGACGAGTCCAGTTGGGTCAGAACCACAGTTGAAAAGGTGTGTCAAAGTTTGATTGACATTAGCTGGAGGGGCGTGTCTCTGTTTGATTGACAGTAGATGAGGGATGTGTCTGAATAGCACTGGTCAGAGTTACTATAAAAAGCTCCCTACGCAACATGTTGCGTCATCAAGTACCCAGATGTCAGCCGAACAGAACTTTGAGTACACGATTAGTTCGGTAGTTGTGGTTTGTGCTGATCAAAAAAAAAAAAGTATCTAAGAAACATTGTTTCTACAGGACTTGCCATAATGACAGCCGAAATGCCGACAAGCCTCATACTTAAGTTATTTGGTTAATTCAGTTTCCAAAGCCGATGACTCCGGGAGAGGAATGTGATCGTTGGATTTGACTCTGTGGCCAAGTTGGCTTCGACCGGACAAATGTAAACAGGAGGACTTTTATCTATTCGAAACACTTCGTTAGAGGGAACGGGTCGACAGAGGACCATCCCGATCCTGTACCAGCGACTGCAGTCGTATGTCCGTCCGTCCGTCCGTCCGTCCGTCCATCCATCCATCCATCCATCCATCCATCCATCCAACGAACATGTTTTACCCACTTTTTCCTTTCATGTCAAGAACTACCAGGAGCACTTAACGCCTTTTTCAACCTGCCCGCTCTAATTTGTCTCTTTAGGCGCTTTATTCAACCGATGTTTGTAACTGAACACACAGAATATGAGGCTAAGTGGCAAGATAATATGTTGAAAACACAAGAAATCCTAAAAAATACGTTCACCGTCCTGGCATTCTCTACCCGGAGGAGTGTAAGAGCAATCTAAAAGTGGTATCTAAAACTAGCAAAACGATGGAGAAATCTTCATGTTCCTTTCTGTTCCCAAGCCAAATATTGATAAGAGAACATAGAACTCGTCTTTTTTTTTTTTTTTTTTTAAAGAAAATGTTTCACTTTTGAAAAATTGAGTAAAATAATCGATTGCTAACAGCTAACAACGGCTAACGAAGTAAAATAAAAGAAGCGGCTGGTAAAATCGTTGTTCTGCCAAAAGCTTGTGCAATACACGGCTAATACACGGCTTGCATCCTGCACGAGTCTTCTGTCATATGTGCTCTTTTTCACCGAGGCAAATGAGCACGAATCGGCACGGAAACACCCGGAGCGCCACACGTACCTTTTTATCAGTTCAGCCTGGCTGCTAATCCCCTGTATTCTAGCCAGCGCTTGAGCTGTGCATTGCTGTATCCTTCAATACATTCCAAGTCAAATGTGTCCCGGGAACGTTGTTGTTGTTTAAGTTGACACGAACAAATTATGGATGAGGTCTGCTGTGTTGTTTGCCTGACGTCCAGGTCTTTGGGGATTCCCCACAATCCCTGTGATGTCATTCCTGATCAATGCTGTTTGTTTGACGGTAGCTGAAGGGGTGTGTCTCGTTTTGATTGACAGTACTTCAAAGGGCTTGTCTGAGTTTGATTGACGGCAGCTGAAGGAGTGCGTCTTTATCATAAGTTTAATTTAATTAGTTCACTTTATTTCCAAAATATTTTAGTTCTTTGGAAAGTTTTGATTTTAGATAGAGATAAGAGTAGTTTTTTTTTTTTCTTGAGCACGTCTGACAGAAAACTGATTCTTTGATCTGTTTTGATGAGTTGAAAGTTTTAGAAGTTTGAACTGAACACAACAAGCGTTTGAGTGACAGCTGGTTGAGGAAGCAGCTTAGTGGTTGATGAGCTCTACAGAAACTTGTAACTGAATAACTTCAATGAACTGTTTTATTTTATTTTTTATAACTAGACCCAAATTAAACCCAGCTTCGTCTCCCTGTGGTCTAAGTCCGGGATGATCCACTCTGACATTTGATTAGAACGTTTTCACTGCGTCTTCCCGGACCCCGTCTCCCCGGACCTTCTCAGCTCCGATTCTGTGTACAGGTGCAGCTCATAAAATTAGAATATCATGGAAAAAGTTCAAATTTTTTTGTCACTCACTTCAGAAAGTGAAACTCCTATATTGCATAGATTCTTTACACATAAAGTCAAATATTTGTAGCCTTTATTTTTTGTAATGTTGACGATTATGGCTTACAGATAATGATAATAAACCAAGATTCTGTGTCTCAGAAAATTATAAAGTTGTGATAAAGTTCAATATTGGAAACTCACTGTGTCGCACCCTAATCAGCAAATTAATTCTAAACACTTTGGAAGGTTTCCTGAGCCTTTAAATGGTCTGTCAGCCTGGGTCAGTGGGCTACACAATCTTCTAAATGTGGCTGACTTGACAGTTGTCCAGAGGACAGTCATTGACACCCTCCATAAAGAAGCTGGTTGTTCAGAGTGCTGTATCCAGGAATATTCATGGACAGTTAAATGGAAGGTAAAAATGTGGTAGGAATTTGGAAAATGTCCAGCAACAGGAATGACCACAGCCTTTAGAGGATTGTCGAGCAAAATCCATTCAAGAAACTGGGAGAGGTTCACAAGGAGTGGACTGAGGCTGGAGTTGGTGCATCAAGAGCCGCTACGCACAGACAAATACTAGACATGAGCTACAAATGTCTCATTCCTCAAGTCCAGCCACTCCTGAACCAGAGACAATGCCAGAATCTGTTACCTGTTGAGGAGACAAAGAACTGGACTGTTGCTCTCTGGTCCAACGTCTTCTTTTCAGATGAAAGTAAAAACACTGCATGCCATTTGTAAATCAAGGTCCCAGAGTCTGGAGGAAGAGTGGAGAGGCCCAGAATCCACGTTGCTTGAAGTCCAGAGAGAAGTTTCCGCAGTCGGTGATGGTTTGGTGCCATGTCCTCTGCTGGTGCTGGTCCACTGGGTTTTCTGAAGTCCACAATCAATGCAGGATCTACCAGGACATTTTAGAGCTCTTTGTGCTTCCTTCTGCTGACGAGCTTAATGGAGATGCTGGTTTCATTTTCCAGCAGGACTCGGCGCCTGCCCATCCTGCCAAAGTTACCAACAGCTGGTTTGTTGACCGACCAGCAAACTCGCCTGACCTGAACCCTGTAGAGAATCTTTGGGCTATTGTCAAGAGGAAGGTGAGACACCAGCCCCAACAATGCAGATGACCTGAAGACTGCTATCAAAGCAACCTGGACTTCCAGTACACCTCAGGAGGGCCACAGGCTGATCACCAACATGCCACGCCACATCGATGCAGTAATTCATGCAAGAAGGCCCAGCCAAGTACCGAGTACATAGAAATGAAAATACTTTTCAGAAACATACCATTTGTGCTTAAAATTTTCATTTTTTTTAATTGATCTTATGCAATATTCTAAATTTCTGAGCTGCACCTGTAGATGTTTACCTCAGAGTCTGAAGGTCCCACATGTTCCGACCAAACGATGAAGACAGGAGAGGAAATCCCCGCATTCCTGCTGCAGCCTCTTTGTTTCGCGCACTTTCCTGTAAAAACGCACGAGGAGGTTGATTAATGTGATGCAGGTACGCGTGTTCCAACAGATCTCACCTGCTGGAACGCCTGGGAGCCCACAGGGTCTCAACCCACCTTTATTTTCATCGTAAAGACGGAAATACGTTTAGAACCAAACGTGTCATTTTGTCTCAGAGCTTCCAGAAGAAGCTTTAACTGGTTGAAGTGGGATCGTAGCATGCTTTGTGGTGGATCCGCTAAAAATATGTGACTGTGAGGAGTGATGTAATGTCACCGTTGAGCCCGTTAGAACTTTTGGTCACGAATGAGATGAAATCAGAGGAACGAAGCGGGAAACTGGTTTTTCAGGGTCTAGGCTGGTAGGTGCGTTAGCTCTGAGGTGATTGTTGAGGCGGGAAAACCCCCTGCAGCTCTGTCACAACCCGGTGAGGATGATGATGATGATTATGATGACAACTCACCTCCTTTGCTTCAGAACTGATAAACCATCTCCTTCATGTTGGTGTTATCAGGATCTGTTCAGAATCATTTTTTACAGATTGAGGGAAAAAATATGACAAATGAAGAACCTTGAATCCTTGAATATAATAACCACAACAATAAACAGTAAATATTTGTGGTTTAGTTGAACTTTGATTTTTCAGTTTTGTGTTTCTTTAGTCCTGACATCAAATATTTAGTTTTAAATGTGTGAAACATGAAGTGTTTCTGTTTAAACTGATAAAACTCCATCCATTATCATTCCCTTCTTCTTCTTTTCTGTGTCACGGGGGTCACCGTGGCCCATATCCAGCAGTCACCGTGCGAGAGGCGGGGGACACCCTGGACAGGTCGCATGTCCATCAAAGGGACACAACGAGACAAAGAACCATTCACTCTCTCACCCCCATTTTCTGGGGAAGGACCCCCCCAGAAAATTATGAATAAAGTAGATGTGATTTCCTGCATTTTGGTGTATTTTAACGGTTGATAAACATCTACATTTACCTTAATTTGTAAACCGCTTCTGTCAAGCATCCTACTCCCCGACGCCCTCCCCCTCACTTGACCAAGCCCGACTCTTCTCCGCTGAATTCACTGTCCTGCTCGTCGTTGTCCGACTCCATATGTGAAACCTCAAGGTGCCTCCTCCGTCTGTTCATGGCGGCTGGCTGTGGGTTCCTGCCTGTCGGCTGTGGGTTCCTGCCTGCCTACGACGGCCTGGTTAGCTCAGTGCCGCCCCCCCCCCCCCCCCAACACACACACACACACACACTCACTTGCTCCTGCTCCAATCTTGGTTCCCACTGTCTCAAGGTGTTTCAATTCTCGATTGTCCAACTAAGGACAATGAGAAGCCTTTTTTGAAATGAAAGTAAAGTGGTCTATCTTGCACATTTTGATTGCTGTTATTTTGACAAATTAACGTCATTGTTTTGATAAGTAATGCGAATGATACACATCAAAACATTTCTCTTGTTGTGTTTTTAATAAATAATCAAAATTTTATCAATAACCCACTTAAACTGTTGAACTGATTTGCAATTTAGTTGTGCCATTTAATTATATTTTTGAGATTTTTAATAAAATTGCACGACGACTTTGGACATTTAGGGGTGGAGTTATTTTTAAGGGGAGAAGCAAAATGGTTACTTAAAGGGGCAGCTCAAGAAGCTCATAAGTGACTGTTATGTTTAAAATTAGTGTTTATGTAATTATTTTTAGTTTACATATACAATATAAGTTTTTTCCATTCAAGGCAGTCATATTTGTTCATAACTTTATTATTAGTAAGCCTGAGACTTACTCCATCCAGTTACTAAAATGCACCCTGTTAAAATAAAAGAGTGGATCCGGTTCAAATTAAGCCCTGCTCCTGGCCCTCAGAGGACTCTTCACTATAGTAACATCTTCCTCACCCTGCTCTTCTCAAAGGACTGCAAAACTGCTGCTAGCGCTTCCTCTACCATCAGACTTCTCATGCTGTCTGCTGGAGAGAAGACGAGAGCTGCAAACTACTGCTGCAGACTTCACAACATGCGCCTGCGTAAACAAGTTACACCACGTATCCATCTGGAGTGAGAAGACTCGATCAAGAAATAAACATAAACCGAGTCCATGTGGCCTTTTGCGACTCAAATCTCACACACTGTTCTGATCCAGTGGTTCTGCACAAGCCCATGTTCAGAAGATTTCTCTGCTGGTCTGGACCTGTCCAAGAAGTTCACACACACACACCTCGGCAGTGTTTCATGTCTTTGGGGTTTTCCTGGACGCCCACAGCTGATTACAGGGAAGCAGAGTTGTGTCACAAACAGGAAAGGCGATGAGTTTCAGCTCGGAGATGAAAGCTCGCCACTCGCCGCCAGCACCTACTCCGACCCAGAATCAGTGACATCGTTAATCCTGAATGTCAGCGTCAGAACCTGCTGACATTTTTCTGCACCAGTTTTTATGTTTCTGTGCAAATGTGTGTGAATTGTTTTCATGCCAGAGGTTTGGGTTTTTGGTCGAAGTTCTTCCATGAAGACCACGTCTGTCTGGACTTCTTCTAACTTGGGTCCAACAGGTTTCTGTTGGTCCAGAGCTGGGTCTGCTACACATCATCTGATTTCAACGGGAACCAGCATGATGTGTATTTCATCCCCTCTATCTGTCCTCTTGCTATAAGTCCAGGCCGCTCGGAGGCCTCAGGTCCAGGAGGGAAACCAACCTGTCCCTAGCGACACTCTGCAGCACCTCCTGGAGGATCCAAGGTGCTCCCAAACTAGAGAGGATAGAACATCCAGAAATTCCTGGGTCTTCCCCTTGGTCTCCTTCCGGTGGGAGGTGTCCTACATCAGCTGTCTGAACCACCTCAGCTGTGTTGAGGGGGAGCAGCAGCTCTACTCCTAGCTCTCCCCAGTTGAAGGAGTTCCTCATCTTATCTTTGAGCCTGGTCATCCTACAGAGGAAGAACATTTCAGCTGCTTAGATCCAGGTTCTGGTTCTTTCATTCTTGATCCGAATCACATGACTATAGTTGACCAAAAAATCCAGAGCATTGCCTTATAGCTCAGCTCTTTCTTCACCACAGCAGATTGGAACAACACCCTTAATACTGCAGATGGTGTTCTGATCCGTTAGTCCTTCTTCTTCCTCCCTTCACTCAAGAACATGACCCCCAGAGAGACCTGAACTAAAGTCCCCAACCCAGAAGGAGCATTCCACCTTCTTCTGGTTGAGAACCCTTTGCAAGTGGAAGGTCTTTTTTTGCAACGACCTCACCTGGAGGATGAAACCATCTGCAACAACCTCACCCGGAGGATGAAACCATCTGCAACGACCTCACCCGGAGGATGAAACCATCTGCAACGACCTCACCCGGAGGATGAAACCATCTGCAACGACCTCACCCGGAGGATGAAACCATCTGCAA